ACCCTGGATATCCCACACGCGTCACTCTGAACACTCAAACATACACACACACACACTTCACACTGAACTACAGCTATGGCAGCTATGGCTGCCTCTACCCTATCGCTATGCTACGCTCCTCTCTCGCCCACTTCAGCTCCGGGCTCTCTGCAGACCTCCTTGCACAAGTCGCTGTGGCAGCGCTTCCGCATGGCTCACGCAGGAATGAATGAATGGTTGGGCGCTGCCTCTTGATTTATACTTCTGAAACTCGTTGGTCTGCCCTCTTCCATCGGCCCATGGTGCTCACATTCCTTTGTGGTACTTGCTGGACCGGACTGGGACTGACTGGACCTGACCGCTGACTGAACGGGGACTCACTGCTATTCCACCAGACTCGTACTGCAATCGCACTGCGGTTTAGTCCACCACTTGACTCACCACTTGACCACTTGCCCACTGGCCGACCTTCTAGAAGGACTACAGCTAAGACTTCTGGAACTCGCTAGGACTTCTATTCTACAGATCTACAGATCAAACCCCTACCACCTACGGACCTATGACAGCCTACCAACTGTTCAGGTCACAGGTTCACCTCTCGGGGTCTACACAGGTACTGTACACAGATAGGGCAAGGTCTAGGGATCGAACCCTGGGATCTGCGTCTGCTACTGCAAAGAGGTGTAAAACCGTTTCACTCCCGCTGTCCTAAATTCGAGGTCCTCCGAGAATATTTCAGTCCAAGGCAGGACCTTTACCCTTCTTATCATGCTCATAGGCTCTGACTATGTCGGGAGCTGTTTCTAGGAGTTCTGTCCTTGTAAACCATCGGTCGTCTTCCGGTTCCTGATAAGCAAACCGGATTTTATACAGTTTCTGGGGACGAGCTCTACCTCCTGTTCTGAACACATCCTCATCTACAATGCCGTCAATGTCATAACTTCCATCCATATCCGGGGGGATCATGTTGACTTGTGACACACGGCAACAGCTTTGAGGCATGAAATACAGGATGAGTGTGGAGGTGCGCTGGAATCTCTATTGTATAGGACGGCCCACCCTCTCCGCCCTTGACCTCTAGAACCGGCCACGGTCCTCTATATGCAGGTAGTAACTTCTGTGAGATGTTTTCCTCAGGTGCAAACTCTTTAGACTTGACCCAGACTAAGTCCCCTTAGCCTGTTCTATCATTTTGTGCTGGGCCTTCTTGAGGTTCTCAACAACGGTAGCTAGCTCCTTCTCGTGCTGTATCGCGAACTCCCTGGTTCCGGGCGGTAGCCTGTGAATCTGATCCCAGTTCAGTCCTTCGAACGGTCTGCGTGGTCTGAAGGACTTGTGCAGCTCATTGGGAGTGCGGCAGGTGGATAGATGCATGCTGTTATTGTATGCACTACCTACCTTAGGCAACATCTCATCCCAGTTGATCTGGTCAGGTCTAATGTACATGCGCAAAACTTGCTGTAGGATCTTGTTCATCTGTTTTGTCTTACCGTTGGTCTCTGGATGACGGCCAGATGACATTAATAACTTTGATCCGTAAACTCTCATGAGTTCTTGCCAGTTCAGGCTGGTGAAACGACTATCTCTATCGCTAACTATGGATAATGGGACTCCGCTCTCACTAACCCAATGATAAAAAAACTTCTGAATAACTAATTATGTGCGTGCCTCTGCAGGCAAAGGAACAAAAATGGCATACTTGCTAAATCGGTCAACTATGACCATGACTTGGCTCTTATGATGTCTACTTTTGACTTGGGTATCCATGAAGTCTATGGACACTGAGTCTCCAGGTTGATTAGGAATAGGCAGCGGTCTGAGAAGACCTAGGGGCGCGCGTGTAGTAGTCTTATTCCTCTGGCACACTTTACAACGGCGGACATACTCTATGCAGTCATTCTTCATCCCTGGCCAGGTATACGCACGCATCAGATTGGCTAATGTCTTTTGCCAACCAAAGTGTCCCTCTGTGTCATGGCATTCCCCTAGGATCAAACTGCGAACTTCCTCACTATTGGGAACGCATAGGTGGTCAAATACATCTGTCTTCTCAAACAGCAATCCTTATGTAGTGCGGTAGTGTGGTTCGGTCTCTGGGGCCTCCTTAACTCTCTTGAGGAGGTCACTATAGATAGGGTCCTGCGCATACGGTTGCCTTACTTTCTCCTGCAGATCTCTCCCTATATCCAGATAGTGTATTATGGCTCCAAAGTAGTCTGATCTCCTACTCAGAGCATCTGCAACTACATTGTACTTGCCCTTCACTGGCTTGAGCTCAAAGTCGTACTGGTCTATCTCAGCGGCCCACCTAGTTAACTTAGGTGTCATCTTGGCTTGGGTCTTTAACCATCTAAGTGTTTCATGGTCAGAATACACTTTGAAGTGCCTCCCAAGCAGGTAATGCTTCCAGTGCTCTAGAGCCTGCCTGAGAGCGTAGAGTTCTCTCTCAGATATAGCCATTGCCGCCGTCTTGCTGCAACACGACGCCTATACCATACTGACTCGCGTCCGTGGTGACGACAAATGGCAAGGACGGATCAGCTACTTTGAGGACATGATACTCTATTAACGCGCGCTTTAATCTCTTTAGCGCAGACGTACAATCTTTATCCCATTGCCAGATTGCCTCTTTCTTTAGCAACCTCCGCAAGGGAGCGGCGATGGTAGAGAAGTTCCTCACAAACTTCCTATAGTAGTTGGCTAGGCCTAAAAACGACCACAACTCTGTCAACGTGCGGGGCGTCGGCCAGTCTCGAATTGCCGCTATCTTGCTGTCCTCTGGCTTAATGCCATCCCCGTCTAATACGTGGCCCAAGTACAGAGCTTGTGTCTTGGCCCATTCGCACTTCTTCGGGTTGATCTTGAAGCTAGTCTCTCTTAGCTTCTCCAAGACCTGCCTTAGATGACCCTGATGCTCCTGGAGGGTCTTACTGAAAACTAAGATATCATCTAAATAAACTACTACAAACTTGTCTAACCACGGTCTAAACAGATCATTCATACATCGCTGAGACGTCACTGGCGCGTTAGTCAGTCCAAAGGGCATCACTATAAACTCATAGTGCCCATATCTAGTCCGGAACGTTGTCTTATACTGGTCATCAGGATGGACTTCTATCTGATGGTATCCGAACTTCAAATCAATCTTAGAAAAATACTTGCAACCCTGCACCCGATCTAAGAGATCGTCTATCATGGGGGCAGTGGCTCAACATTCTTCACTGTAATAGCATTCAAGCCCCTGTAGTCTATACACATACGAAGCTCTCCTTCCTTCTTGGGGACAAACAGGACTGGTGCTCCAAAAGGAGACGAACTGAGCCTGATCCAACCCTTCTCGAGGAGCTCGTCTAACTGCTTGCGTAGCTCCTCTAACTCTCTAGGGGACATCCTGTAGACTGCTCCCTTAGGAGTCCTACTGCCAGGCTCTATCTCTATCCTTTGCTGGATGGGTCACGTCACTACTCCTGTCGGTGACTTAGTCAAATCTTTGAACTCTTCCAGCAGCTTGGCAATCGTTGGATCTGTGGAAGTCACCTCTTCCTTAGCCTCAGTGACAGGTCTAACATAAACTACAAAGACCTGTTCCTCTAATCGCTCCTTCTTCACTAACCGCGCGAACGCGGGAGCACTGAGACAGCAATGTGCCAAGGTGTTGTCTACACCTGACACATGAAATAAGCGGGCAGTCTTAACCTCGCCTGAGGGACTAGGGAGCCTACACTCATGCTCTCTCAAGTGGAGTGTGGCCCCTACTACCTCTCCCCAATCCATTCCTAACACTATGTCGAAAGGAAGGTCATCCTGTACGAGGAGAGTCAGGGAATGGAGAACTTTCTCCACCTTCCCATCCTTCTCTAGGCGGAAGTATGCCTGGACTCCCTCTACGTAGTCCTCAACTCGTATCGTGCGGTTGTCAGCGAGGACAGTGACTCTAGGGTTTGCTAACTTTTGGACTTTCAATCCTAGCCTCAACTTCTTCAGCGCCCTACGGTCAATATAACTACGGGTGACCCCGAATCTATAAGGGCCCCTACTCTGCTTCTAAGCACTTCTACATCTACCAAGATCAGTTGTCCCTTACTCTCCTTTTTCATTTTGGCCCAGGCTGGCATCCTCTCCTTCAACTTTTCTGCCACACCTGTGAGGGACGTGCCTAGAGAGACGCTAACACAAGCAGTCTCTGGACAGCTAGCTAGGCACGAGCCTGCACCCTCTGCCATAGGCTCATGTGGTTTGGGAGTTTCCTGTTCGCGCGCGCTCGCTTCCCCACATGGCCCTAAAGTAGGGGCAGTTGCAATCCCTACTGGCGGCTGCCTTTTGACTGTTGGGCAGCCCAACGGGCCTGTCTATCCTTAGGACAAAATTTAATAATGTGGGCCGGGTCACCACAAAACACGCACTGACCCAGGTCCACGCGTTCCTGCCATATACGATGGTTCAAGCCCAAATCTTCCCAGGGCCTTCCCTGTGGCAAGCTTGGGTGCCATCCTCCTTGAGGTGCCCTTCCACCTCGTCGTTGTGGGGACCGACAAGAACCCTAGCGATTTGGCGGGGGACCTTGACCCCTACCTCCCACTTGGTGATTCCCTTGTCCGCCAACCCCTTGTGCGCCCGGTCCTCGGCCTCCCATGGCCTGGCCCCTTTGGCCCTGGCCTCCTCCTCTACTTTGCGGCCTCCCTCCAGCCGTGACAACAGCATAGGACCTCCCCTGCCCCACGCTACTGTCCTCCTCCTCGAGGCCCCACTCAATCTGACTATACGGGACCTCATTTGTACCACCTTCCTCTAAAGTAAGGATCATATGATCCTTGGCCCTTACTTGGCCTGAGATGGTACGGCCATTCCACTTCTTCCCCTTTTCCAGGTCCTTATGCCAGAAAGTGGTAACTGGCATGGACTTTAACTCATACAGGACCACTTCCCTACTCGACGCATCATAAGTGATGCTGGCCTGTTAAGACTTGTCAAAGAAGTGCCCACGCAGGGCCTCTAGCATGGCACGATAAAACAATTGAAACAATTGGGGCTCAATAACCCCATGGTCTGGGACGGCTACCAAGTCGTCCATAACGCCCTTGAGTGCTCCCGCACTCCTCCACTGTCGCGAGTGGATCGTCTGTAACCTGTCAGAGGCCCTGACGCCTCTCGTTGGATCCGCAAATCGCTCCCTCAGGAGCTTGAAGAACCGAGGAAGGGGGATGACTTGAGAGTAGGCAACCAGGTTGTTTTCACAACCGGCTGCTCGCGCAAGGGACCTGGCAAAACTAGCCGCCTCATCCTTAAGGGCGTGGAAGGCCACGAGGACTTGTTCCTCTATCAGGATGTGCTGTAGATACACGTAACTATTGACATTGGCCTCCCAGTTGTCAAAGTTCTCCTCCTTTTTTCCCCCGTACGCATCTGGAAGCTTAAGCTTGACCGGGTCCTTGCGGGGTCTGGCCTCGCCCTCTACAGCGGCTATCGCTTTGACGCCCTCGATAGCGCCCTCACAAAACTTCCTCACGTTGTCTCTCAACCTCCTAACTTCTCCCCCAACGTGGGTAACCATATCGCGCGCAAAGTCCCTAAACCCCGACCACATGGCACTCAAGGCTACCTCTTGACTCCAACTGGCTTGGCGCTCCTCCATCCAAGCCGCGCTCAACACCTCCAAGTATCCCAACACCTTATCCCATTTGGCCGAGTCGTCTGCCTGGGCCTCCACTTCTTGCCTACAGTCCTTCACCTTTGCCACCTCTGCGATCAGCCTATTGACTTCCTCCCTCCTTCTCTTCTTCTCCCTCTTCATTCTCAATTTTCATTTTAACTTTGCTCCTCTTCTCTTTCTCGCCGTTCCATGGGGTCCTCCATTGCCATTAGATCCCTGGCTAACGCATCTCTCTCATCCTGTGGCACATAAGACTCCGCCTCCTCGTCTTCCCCCAATGACAAATTAGCAACCCACTCGCTGATCTTTTTCTCCATCTCTAAATCTTCATCCTTTTTCGTGCCACTGCTCCCCTCTCTACTCTCAATACGCATCCTCTCTTTTGCTTCTTCTGCTGCTGCTTCCTCTTCGACCACCTTTCTCCTCTCGTCCTCCTCCTGCTGAACTCTCTTCATCTCCTCCTCTAGTTTCTTCATCTTTGCCGCCTGCTCCTCCGCAATAGCCTTTAGGTTCGCCTGTTTCTGGAGCTCGTTCCTCTCTTTGTTTTCTCTCACTAAGGCGGTCATCTTCTCTTGCTGTTCCTGGGTGTAGGGGATAGTGCTCGTCCCACTACGGGTCTCAACCATGGTGTCAGTGCACAACCGGATTAACGGTTCCAAACCTCACCACGTAGACTCTAATCCCTGACTGACAAACCTACAGACTCAATCTAAGACTCACAGAATCCGGACAGGGATCCTGCCAACTAGGATCTCTAGCCTAGACCTATACTATGGCTGTCACTACTAGACCTGTTGCTGATCAGGAGGCATTTAAGGAGATCCCCYGTAACTCCTCAGGAATTATTTAACGTCGCATACAGGACGACGCGATCAGCAAGTCTCTCAACACTTAGACGGCCTGTTGTGCAGCCCACAACTCGGATTTTGGGCCTACCGTGCCACACCGAGCAGCCCGCCAGTCAGTACCGGGCCTTGGGAGGGTTCGTGTCCTCCGGGACAGTCGAGCCGTCAGACACAACTTTTAGCCCTACTCAGCCCGTGTGGGTTTGGTCAACAAGGCCCTATCCTTCATCCAAAGAGTACTATCACCTAGGACAGAAGAGACTCGATGCAGAAAGAAGAGACAGACTGACTAGACTCGGCAAGTACCACAGGGTGTGTGCGCATCCATAGGGCGAGGGATAGGCTGAAGGCTTGGCGAGATTTTACCGGCTCCAGCTTGGTCAAAGTTTTGGTCAACGCCTTGTTCAACACCGGTCAACGCCGGTCAACGCTGCGGTCAACCCCCGATCCCCCGGTCAGCGTCGGTCAACACCTCCGGACACCTCCAGTCAACACCTCCGGTCAACACCTCCGGTCAACTCTCCCGGTCAACTCTCCCGGTCAACCCACCTCCGGTCAACTCTCCCGGTCAACTCTCCCGGTCAACCCTCCGGTCAACTATGGCTGCCGGCTTCTCTTTGCCTCACCAACCTCCTCCTTTGCTTCACCTTCCTTGCCTCCTTTCACCCTGCTGTCTCCTTTCTCCCTTTTTTTTTTTTTTTTTTTTTGTTCGGCTCTCGCTTCACTTCTCGGCTATGACTTCTCTCACTCTTCTCGGTCTCTCCCCGTCTGTCCTCTCTCTCCCTCCTTCGTCACTCCGTGGTCAAGCTCCGCGGCTATGGCCGCAATCTTCTTCTTCGTGGAACTGCACGACACACTT